AAGAGAAAATGTAACCCTTAACAGAGTGGTCTTTTCTCGTCAACCTGTCAAAAATGCACTCCCCAGCCAGTAACTCTCTCTTTATACCTGTACCACCTGACATATATCGCTTTTTTTTTATTGTCTGCCTTTCTCCGCCCTTTCCCCCCCGCAACCATACATCAGAATGCAAACTCTGTAAGAGAAGGACTTTTGCCTGTGATTACCCTTTCCCATACCATACTTTAAAATAATACACTCTGGATTTCACATAACACATGTTAATTATGAATGTTAACATTTTAACGGTAGATTACAGATCTAATAAGATCAAAAATGAAAAAATTCTGCAACTAAAGTCATCATTTCACTTCTCAAATCAGCTTTCTCCCCTCATCACCAATTCCATTAATGACACATCAATCCTTCAGTAAAATTCAAGTTCAAAATCTGATCAGAATTTATTCTTTATTCTTGTTACATTTAATATCAAATCATGGTATAAATGTTCTTTTTTAAACATACCAGAAAAGTAGAGGAATTGAAAAAATACAAAGAACAGTTTACAGAATGAAATTACAAATAATCTTGAGATATATCAAACTGCACTCAAAGACACTCAGATACTTGTTATAAAGAACTTAAAATTACACTGATTTTTGTTAATCTTTCAGATTGCTAAAAATCTAAAAGTTCAACAATACTCTTTGTTAGCAAGGTCATGGGGAAACAAGCAATCTCAAACACTGCTGGAGAAAGTGTAAACTAGCACACTCCCCAGAGAGTGGCAATTTGGCAATATCTACCAAAATTGCAAATCCACATACATTTTGGTCCATGAAATACTATTTATCTATAAAACAGAATGAGGATGTTCTTTGTATTCTAATGTAAAATGATCTCCTGGTGCTTCTGAGTTACCCTCGAGCTCAAATGGCAAAAACAAATTGCACTGACTGAATATTTATGGCATATTTTACTCCTTCTCAAGTCATTTAGCCCTAGGTCACATCTAAAAACTTAGTTCAATTTTCGCACTTTAAAAAGTAATTATGAGAGATCAACTTCCAGCATGAGATCATGAGGTGACCTAGTTTCTCCAGTGAAACTTGGGAAAATTATAGTAAAACAACCATTGAAAGCCTATGGAAATAGTGACAAGAGTATATGGCAAATGAAGAAATATTTACTGAAAAAAATCTACAAAAACACAACAAGAAAAGTGAGTCTGTGGTATCTGAACCAAAACCACTGCTTCCCTTGCCCTTCTCAGACCAGCAAGGCAGAAATACCACCCCTGACTACTGCAGCCCATAATATAGGGTCCACTCTACCCCAGGTCCCAATCAGAGGGCTTACTTCCTGGGAAAAGCAGGACATCAGTGTCTCAATCCGTCCTCAACCACCTGTTGCTGAGACTATGTTCTCCACAAGTGCAGTTATGAAGTAGGGACCTCCTTCTTCTAGCTAGCCTCCACTAGTGGAATAGAGGCTCTATCTTTGGACCAAGCACCATGGAAAACACTGGGACCCTAATCACCCTTGCCGTGGCTCCTCGAAAGGCAGTCATTCCATACCCAGTGAGACAACCCAAGTAGATCTCAGCTACTGCCCATCCCCTCCATCCAGTACTCAGCACCTAAATAAAGGGTGTCACTCAGAAAGAAGCCTGCCTTTGTCCCCACCCCTACCT